GCTCGTCGCTGCGGTAGATTCGAATGGTTGCGTCATTAAACCCGAATCTCACCATCCAATCCTTTTGCGCCAGTGGGGCTAGCGATTCGGCGTTGAGGATCAGCAACACCTGCCTTCTATTCTCTACTGGCTCCTCTATCTTCCCTACCCTCCAATTATGACTTGGCAGGTCCTTATTACAGGATCTGAAGATCCGCTCAATTCTTTCAGGCTCGGCGGGTCTGGCCGGAATCCAAACTCGAGCCCTCGGTCTGCTAGGAATATCTTCCTTGTTGACGGCCTCGAGCTTGGCTCCCGGCCAAACTTCACCTACCTTACTAACGGCCAACCTATAGAGCTGGGCTGACTTATGGTCCTCGCAGGCGATGAGTTTAGCTCTACCCTGATACCATCCGGAATCATGGCAGAGAGGAGGAGGTCCAGGATTTTCCTCTAGGACTTGGAGGTAGATTTCGGCGATCGCTTCCTCCACCAACCTCCACTTCTCTTTGGGGATAGTCCCTTCCTCCTCCCCTCTGTCGATGATTGCCAGTACCTCACCGCCTCCCTTCACTACGTCCCTGAAGGTGGGGTATTTATGGCCGCCTGTTCTTGGTCTTTTGGTGACCCCACCCCCTGCCTGTTCAGCAGACCGCTGCCTTTTTGGAGCAGAGCCTGCCGGTCTTCCCAAGCTGGCTACTACTCCCCTCGCCCACTCCAGTGACCTAACCTGCTCCTCCGTGAGCTGCTCTGTCGGCAGGTCCCCGATCTTGTTCACGACCCTCATGGCCGCCTTTTTGTCATAATAGGCCTGCTTCGAGGGGCGGACATGTTTAGCCGACCCCCCCAGGCCTGTGTTTGCAACTTTCCTCGAGCTGCTCGGAATGTCGGCAGCATCCTGCCGGGTTATTTTCGAAGCAGGTGCCGAACCCCGCCCTTGGGTTAAGGTGTGTGTGCTTTGGGGTCTGACTTCCCTAGGCGGAGCTGACGCTGCAGCTCCAGCCATGAATCGGTTGGAGACCGGTTTGCCCAAGCCTCCACTCCCCCCTCTGCCTCCTATGGTACTCGTACCAGGACCAGCCTTACCGCTTAAGCCCCCTCTAACTCCTCATAATTTTGGTCCCACGAGTGTCGGACAATGGAGGTCCGCCCGCACAGAGGTCCGTGTGCGCAGGTAAGGCTTGATAGAACCGGAGGTCGCCAGGTATCCGGAGCACTCCGTTCGAGACTGGGCTATTTGTTAATCTGGGTCCCCAGCCAGGCTGAACATCAGCACGGGTCGTCTAACACCTTGTTCCAACCCAGAGCTTTTTTAGAGAGGTTTGCTCCTCCATTACCTCCATAGGCCACGATCAAAAACCATTTCCATATAACTTAGCTATTGAGGAGCTTAAGCACATAGCACTGATTTCTGATCTTAGCTGGACACCATTCTGACATCGTACAGAACCTAAATTGTAGTGGCCATTACCAGTCGGCACCCTCGTGGAGGGTTCAGCCGGAGGATTTTCGCCGACCAAA